CTCCCCCGGCCCCCCCGCTTCACCCGGAGCCCCGGAGGGACTGCGGGAAGCTGCCCGCAAGCCCCCCACGCCCCCCGCCTACACGGACAGGGGGGTGCAGACCCCCCCGGCCAAGGCTGTGCCCGGCCCCGTGCCCAACGGCAACCACAGGTACTGTCGCCTCTGCAACATCAAGTTCAGCAGCCTCTCCACCTTCATTGCCCACAAGAAGTATTACTGCTCCTCCCACGCTGCCGAGCACGTCAAGTAAAGCCCCCCGCAGTGCCCCCCACCACCGCTCGGGGGGGGCTGCAGGGGCTGGGGGGCCGGGAACCGATGGCCGACACCCCCCCTTGCAGGGGCGGGGGTGATGGAGGAGCCCCGGGAGGCTCCGCCGGGGCAGCTTCAGCATCTGGAGGTCCCTCCGGTATCCCCAAACTTCACCCTGGGTTGGGGGTCCCGCACGTCCTGGGCTGGGGACCCTGCGCAGGGAACACGGTGCTGGTGGGGGGGCCGGCCCCCCCCGGTGCATGCAGAGCCCCTGCCGCAGCCAGGGCCATTGCTGCAGGGAAACTGAGGCAGGGGGAAGGCGCATGGCCCTGCCCCAGCCAGGGGGCTGCAGGGGGGCTCTGCCCCCAGGTAGACACTACAGGGATGGGGAGGGGGCACAGCATGGCTGGGCTTGGCCCCAGGCACCTGAAGAAGCGTGCGTGTGCCCCCTGCCACGGACCGGACCCTGAAAGGAGACAGCACTGAAGCCGAGGATGAAGCAACCCTGGGAACCGTGTGTATAAGTGTGTACAGAAATAAATATGTCTAATAACACCGGGCTGCCGCCTGCGTGCGGGTGGGGGACGCTGCGGGGGCTGGCATGGCCACCGCCGCCCCGTGGGGTCAGGGGCATCAGGCTGGGGATGGGGTGGCAGGGACAGCCCGCAATAGTGGGGCAGAGCACGGTGTCCCCGTGCCGTCCCTGGCACCCCCAGGTGTCCCACATTTGTGCCATGGGGCTGGGCTGCAGGCTGATGGCTCATTAATTAGCAGGCTAATGAAGCCCCCCAGCCCCAGGTGGGCTGTGCTGCCCAGCTCCTGTCTCTGCCACGTTGGCTGTGCCCAGGCTGGAGCCCCAGTCCCCTGCGGCAGGGTCCCCAGGTGAGCGTGGCTCAGGTCCCGTGTCCCCTGCAGTGCACCATGGGGGGGATGCCCCTAAGCACAGCTTCTCTTGCCTCCCTGCAGCTCACCCCAGTGCTTCCCAGTACAGCACAGGTGGGCAGCAGGTCCTTCCCCTCCCTCCCTCCCAGCTTGCCCAGCAGGGCTTGCACTTTGGGGACCCAGTCTGGGCTCTCCATCTCCCATTCTTCCCAGTGAGGGATGTGCCCCCCAGGTCGCTATAACCCAGTGTCACCCCAGGCTCCGTTTTGTTCCCCAGTCTGGTATCCCTGGAGCTGCAGGGCGCTTGCAGTCCCCATGGGGCATGGCCGGGGACCCCCTGCACAGGGCTGCCAAAGGGACCCAAGACACCCACCCCGGGGCAAGAGGGGTGCACCCTGCAGTGCCAGGAGGGGGTGTCGGCCCCCTGCCAGGGGGTGGGGGCCAGGCCCTGCGTGCCAGCCAGGGCACTGGGCTGACGGGGAGGAGGACGGAGGCAGCAGCTCCCTCGGGGAACGCTTGCGACAGGTCCCCTCCTTGCACCCTCTTGCACCACCGCCCAGCACAGCCGCTGCGTGCCAAGTGGGGCAAGTGGCTGAGCCCCCCCAAACCCAGCAAAAGTGAGATGAGATGCAGCTGGAATCAGCAGAGCTTTACTTAAATAAATATATTTACAGAGTAGCAGATATTGCAGAGAAGAGCTGGCCGCATCCAGCCAGCACAATGCAAGGAGAGGCTGTGCCGGGCGTCACAGCAGCCTCCCCCTGGGCATTGACCTAGCGGGGGTGCTGGGACCCCCAAGGGATGGGGGGGGGGTGACAGAGGAGAGGGGACAGGGTACCCGACCCTCACTGCAGCATCTTCCTGCGGGGCACGGGTGGGAGGCTGCAGGGCAGGAGGCTCTGCAGCGGCGGGCTGCTCTCTGCCTCTTTCGGCTCCTC